ATTCCATCACCATTATCTTCAACTCACTGCCCCCTAGGCTTCCCATCAAACCTTTTGAGTTGCCGTTGTCAATTTGATCTCACATAATTTTGTTTTTTTGTACCTTAGATGAAGGTTTACAGAATAGTTTCTCATTAAACAGTTAGTACACATATTGCCCTATGACAATGGTTAACAACCCCACGACATGTCAACACTCCGTTCTCAACCTTGTGTTCCCTATCACCAGCTTTCTTGTCCTCTCCTGCCTTGTAGTCCTTGTCCCTGGACTGCTGTGCCTCATTAGTCCCATTTTGTTTTATGGGGATGTCCAATCCCAACTGAACAGTGAACCTCGGGAGTGACTTCACCACTGAGCTAAAAGGGAACAGGATACACACTCCTCCTTTCCACCCGATTTCCCATGTCCATTCAACCAGCTCCTAACCCTCTCTACCTTCTCATCTCACCTCCGGACAGAAGCTGCCCATTTAGTCTCATGTATCTACCTGAGCTAAAAAGCACACTCTTCACGAGTATCATTTTATGTCCGACAGTCCAGTCCAATCTTTGTCTTAAGAGTTGGCCTCAGGAATTGTTTTAGTTCTGGGTTGAGAGAGAGTCCGGGGGCCATACTTTCTGGGGCTCCTCCAGTCTCAGTCATACCATTAAGTCTGGTCTTTTTACTAGAATTTGAGTTCTGCACCCCACCTTTCTGCTGCTCCATCAGAGACTCTGTTGTGTTCTCTGTCAGGGTGGTCACTGGTGGTAGCCTGGTAGGTATTCTTCTAAGTGAAGCTTAGGCTTTAGAAGACACTAGGTCCTTTCATGTAAAGACTTTCACCTTCTCACAGATCTATGATATAATGTCCTAAACACTACAAATACATTTATTATTATTATCACTGTTGTTAATTTGGTTATTTCAAACTGTTCAATTCAGTAAAATATCGAACTATTCAGTAACTGTCATTTTCTGGAATAAAATCACTGTTGTAAACATACAACTAAGATGTGGGTATTTGAATAATAATTTTATTTCAATTTCACATGAAAATTTAGATGTATCATACATTAACCCACTTAGGGGCAGAAAGTCAACGAAGCTGCTTGTGATATCGCCTGGCAAGTGGCTGATGAGGGAGATGCTTTGGTGGCAGGAGGTGTGAGTCAGACACCATCATATCTCAGCTGCAAGAGTGAAACTGAAGTTAAAAAAAAATTTCAGCAACAGTTAGAGGTCTTTATGAAGAAGAATGTGGACTTCTTGATTGCAGAGGTAAACATGATCATCAAAGATATGACAAGTGTGCTTAGTATATTTTCTCTATTTTTTGCTTTCATGAAGATCATGCAGGGTTAGGTGCCAGTCATGACTAGTAATTGTAATTAGTTTTTGAAATCTTTTTCCAATTTAGGGCTTCTTCCAAATTTGATCCAGTGAATCTAATATAGTGTTTTTCAAACCTTTTGACTACAATTCACAGTAAGAAATCACCATTCAATTCTGTTCGATTTTTTAAAAAATGTTAATGTGTCATACCTCAGCGTTTGAAAAACACTCATGTAGTGATAATTAAGTTATTAAGCAATAGAATATGTTTTCAAATTGTTTGGGGAGAAATAAGATTAAAAGTATCCTAAACTTTATTTCAGTATTTTGAACACGTGGAAGAAGCTCTGTGGGCAGTTGAGGTGTTGAAAGTGTCTGGTAAACCAGTGGCAGCTACCATGTGCATTGGGCCAGAAGGAGATTTGCATGGAGTGCCCCCTGGCGAGTGTGCAGTGCGGCTGGTGAAAGCAGGTGATGATCGATTTTGATTGGTTTGCAACTGCTGAACCTTTAAAAATAACTTACAAATGAACATCCATCTATAAATCAGTGTATACTTCTTTTGTTAAGAGGAAAACCATTAGTTGACTTCTTCAGGAATATTGATAATATCGTTGAGTCCCGAAGACAAGAATGTTAACATACATGCACGCGCACGCGCGCGCACACACACAAGCCTCTTGGAAGGGGCAACTAGACCTATGCTGGAGGTTTACACCTAGAAATGAGAAGAATATTTTAGTAAATCTTAAGATTTTGTTCCTTAGGAACATTAGGATACATTTTTTTAAAAACTTAGATAGAGGTATTTAAATGTTAATAACTTTAAAGTTAGTTGCCTCATTGCCTAAGTTTTTCCATTATCATAAATTACTGTATGCTTTGCTTTTTGTAATTAGTATAATAAATCAATCTTTTGATGTGAAATAGTGACCACCTAATTTATCTTTTTATATAATTTCCATTCTTAATATTAGTTTCATTTAAATTTGTGAAAACTTACAGACTTTTTTCAAAGCTGCCTTATTTTAAGCCCAAGAAATAGCTTAGAATTAGTGGAAAAGTCTGAGTTATTCTGTATAATGGGGAAATTTTGATTGGTTCTTTGTTTAATTTTTGACTTTCATCCACTCCTGATTTTTCAAGAAAGTCACTTTATACTCTTCATTAACAATAACAGTTATTTAGATTTTTGAATGAAATTGCATGATCCTAATATTTGACTGGAAACATAAATATAGGGGAGAAAAAAAGCCAACTTAATTCCTCTCAAAAAGATCAGAGGCAGCAGTCATCATCCCCACTGTTGACTAGCAGGGGTTGCTGGCCTATTACTAATCCTTCCCTCACCATCCTTAGTGTTTTACATCACTGTACCCTGTTTATATGGGGGCAGGTGGTTCAATGCAGAATTGTCACTTCCTGTGTTGGAGACCTAGGTTTGATTCCTAGCCAGTGCACCTCATGCACAGCTACCATCTATCTGTCAGTGGAGGCATGTGTGTTGCTATGATGCTGACCAGGTTTTAGTGGAGATTCCAGACTAAGAAAGACTAGGAAGAAAGCCCTGGCAATCTACGTAAGAAAATCAGCCAATGGATTACAAGAGCCCCGCACAGACCAGGCAGTCTTTCTGTTTCATTGTGTGCCGGCTGCCATGAGTTGGCTGCCAACTCAATAGCAGCTAACAACAACAAGAACCCTGTTTATATCCTTCACAGCACTTCTCATTTATTTACCTGTTTAGTCTGCCTCCCTCACTAGATTGTAAGATTCATAAGGGCAGGGACTCTGTTTGGTTCAGCACTAAGTACCCTGTGCCTAGCACAGCCCCTAGCACATAATGTTGTTGTTGTCGTTGTGTGCCGAATCAATTCTGATTCACAGAGGTCCTGTATGACACAGCAGAATTGCCTAAGGTGCCCTGGTGGCGCAGTGGTTAAGCACTTGAACCCAACAGCCACTCCACAGGAGAAAGATGTGGCAGTCTGCTTGCATAAAGATTACAGCCTTGGAAACCCTCTGAGACTGTTCTACTCTGTCCTACAGGGTTGCTTGAAGTCAGAATTGACTCAACAGCAACGAGCTTTTTTTTTTTTAAATCATTACAGGAGCAGATTGCCAGGTCTTTTCTCCTGCGGAGCTGCTGGGTGGGTTTGAACTGCTGACCTTTTGGTTAGCAGCTGAGTGCTTAACCATTGAGCCACCAGGGCTCTTTAATAAATAGCTGTTGCATAGATTTAGGCCATCTCCCAACGTTTAGTTCAAATTCACCTCCATGTATCCTTCTATAATCATCCCTACTGCAAGTGATCTTCTAACAACCCTTTCTAAACATACAATTCATTTGGAACTTTTCAAATCCTCATTCAACATTTACCAATCTGTGAGACTGTTAATAGGGTTCTGTGGTCAAATATATTCAGGAAATGTTGTGTTAAACCAATTTAAACGAGTATCTTTACTACAGGACTTCTCAGAGCCTTAAATGTTCATGTATATTGTTAGTCTCCAAGAAGAAGATAATAATGAATAGCAACTGCCAAACTTAATTGATCACAGGACCTTATTTTCACATAGCAAATTTTGGGAAGTACTGTACTACATTATAAAATCCTTGATGTCAGGAACTATGTCCTCTTTCTATAACCACTCACAAAAGCCTTATACCTAACAGACATCCAATCAATAATCAAAGTATAATTAATTCATGAGTGTCATGAAGTCAAGGCACGAAAAGGGAAACTGGCAGCAGAACATCCAAAAAAAGGCACTCAAGATCCAAATGAAGATGTTAAGTAAGCTCTTGCATATGTAAGTCTGGAACCGAATGGGAAGGTCAAGGTTAGAGAGAGTAATTTGAGAGAGATCTGGATATAGATGGTATTGAAAGCCCTGAAACTGAAAAGGAAGTGTAGATGGAGAAGGGAAGATGGTTCAGTGGGAATCCTGGGACACTCTAGCATTGAGAGGCTCAGCCTTGAGGATGAGTCAGCATGTAACATTCAGAAGCAGCAGCCAGGGAGATAGACGCAAAACTTAGAGAGTGTGGGGGTCTCAGAAGCCAAGAGAAGGGGAGTATTGATGAAGGAAAGCATGGCCCACAGGTTGAATGCAGCTGAGTAAGATGAGAACAGAGAAGCCTGCTACTGGATTTGGCGAGAACGTCATGGGTGACCTTGACAAAAGCTGTTTCAGAGTTATGATGGGAAGTAAGGCCTGACTGGAACAAGGATGAAGAGCAAACTGCAGACCCAGCGGAGAGGACCACTGAGGTGCCTGTGGCATCAGCTCTGGTGCTCCTGGAATCTGGATGGTGGTATCACTCTTACCACAGCAGAAAGAATCTCTCCTACCTTTGTTCTTGGTACTTCTATATCCAAGATACAAAATCTTAGGTCATGAGTCCATCAAGAATCAGTCCTATTTGGAAATTCTTCCCATCTTGAGAGGATGGAATAAAAGAATAAGAATGTCGTGTTGCTTCCACAGATCTTCTGGGGGCAGGAATCTCCAAAATCATGTACAATGATTGCTATGATAAGTCATCTTTGGTCCAAATATAATTAAGAATATAATGACTATGAAGAAAGTTTCAGGAAAAAAATAAGGCATCTAAAACATATTTTGTTCTCACTAATCAAACTTCAAAATGACAAATTTTACAAGAAAGCCTGAGGAAGATTATCCCATATAGTTTTGAGTCTAGGGAGGCTAAAATGTAAATGAAAAACTTGTCAAAATGATTGATAAACTGTTAGCCCCTTTTAGTAGCTGAAGTCAGAGGATTTTTGAGAATTTTTTCCCAAGTTACTACTCCTAGACACAAAATTCCTTCTAGAAAACAGGTTTCTGAAAAAGCCTTTTCCTGAACTATATTCTGCTGTGCACAAGAAGGTCAGCAATGTTATTAAGTTGGTCTGGTGAAAGAGAACATTTATTTATACCCAAAATAAGCAGTATGATAAACCACAGGTACAACCTAGCAGCTGGGAGTATTGAAAAATTACTGTTTGTGCCATAATGTCAAACTTTCAAAAACTGACTACTAAAATTTGAAGTTCAAAAAAAACTCTAATAATGATTTTTATTTTTTATAAAAGATGGACCGCCAAGTGTGCATAAATGACACTTCAATTATACCAGACTTTTCAAAGCACTTTTCAAAGAAAGCACTTTGTGCGTGTTAGTAAGCATTCTCACCCAAAGGTAAAATAGGTTTATAGATAGTGAGGACCAAATGTACTTCCAATTCATTGTTCCAAGTAAAAGGTTCCTGATTAAGAGAAGATAGTTGGACATACTAGTATCTGGTGAATCCCTAAAGGTAAAATATTCTTCCCATTTGCAGGAGCATCCATCATTGGTGTGAACTGCCATTTTGACCCCACAACTAGTTTACAAACGGTGAAACTCATGAAAGAAGGCTTGGAGGCTGCCAAATTGAAAGCCCACCTGATGGCCCAGCCCTTGGCCTACCACACTCCTGAATGCGGCAAACAGGGATTTATTGATCTCCCAGAATTCCCTTTTGGTAAGACAGACTTTTTATAAGTAGTCTCAATAGCTTTATATTTGACAAATTTGTAATACACCTATAGCCACAGAGCTTTTGTGATTGTAAAGAAATGGCTGAATATCTCCTTATCTCTTACCCCCAGTTTCTCTCTCTGTACCAACCTTGATATTAGGCAGTAGAGGAGGGAAAAGATGGGATCAGCAAACAAAGACCTCTGAACTTAAATATAAAATCAAAGATGAATCAACATCTGAACAGACAACCAATGAGTCATACTTTTAGGATGGTGAAAAGGATGCTCTGCTGGGTAGAATCAGCACAGATTTGCATTCTGGTTCTAGCTCTGTTGTTGAGTTGTGTGACCTTAGGAAAATCTCTTAATTTCTCTGGATCTTAATTTTCCCACTGGAAAAATAAGAGGGTTAGACCAGATTATCTCCAAGGTCCCTTTCTCCTATTTTAAATTTTGCTCAGATACTCTTACAGAGTTTTGGGGGTGAGGAGAAGATACCATCATTGGATTACTGTATAACAAATGTGAATGAAGAGACTGAGCGATGACTTAAGGGAATACTTGCACCCTAGGCAGAGACTTTAAAGTCTCTTAGCATGTTTGGAAAGTGAGATGACACTACCTTGAAAAATCAACCCAGGGAGGTCAGCAGGACCAGGGCATGGCAAGCCTCCTATGCCATTCTAAGGTCCTTATACTATCTCTTATATGGTACAGGGACTCTCAGAAAAGTAAAACAATCAGACTGATACTATAAAATAATCACTCTGGCAGAACCACAGGGGAAGAATAGTAAGGCGTTTGTGTTATCTATTGTCTGTAACAAATTATTACAAAACTTTAGTGACTTAAAACAACAAACTATCTCACAGCTTCCCAAGCATTTGGGAGCAGCTTAGCTGGGTGGTTTTGGCTCAGGGTCTTTCATGAGCCAACAATCCAGATGTTAGCTGGGGCTATAGTCATCTGAAGGCCTGATGGGAGCTAGAGGATCCACTTCCAAGCTCACTTACTTGGCTATTGCCAATCAATGTCAATTTCTTGTTGGTTATTGGCCGGAGACCTCAGTTCATCACCGGGCCTTTCCATAGTGATGCTGGAGTGACTTTACAACCTTGTAGATGGCTTCCCCCAGAGTAAGTGTTTCAAGAGCAAGCAAGACAGAAACCATAATATGTTTTATGACCTAGTCTCAGAAGTCATATACCATACCTTCTGCCATATATAAACAAAGTAGCTAATTGTTTTAAAAAAAAAAAAACTTAAGACTTAAATACTGACAACTTATTCAATCCATTTATTAAAAACTACATATTCATTTTAGATATTTATTTTGAATATATTTAGAAAAACAGATTAAGGCAAAATCCCATTTATTACAGGACTGGAGCCCAGAGTTGCAACCAGATGGGATATTCAAAAGTATGCCAGAGAGGCCTACAACCTGGGTGTCAGGTACATTGGCGGCTGCTGTGGGTTTGAGCCCTACCACATCAGAGCAATTGCAGAGGAGCTGGCCCCAGAAAGGGGATTTTTGCCACCGGCTTCAGAAAAACATGGCAGCTGGGGAAGTGGTTTGGACATGCACACCAAACCCTGGATTAGAGCAAGGTAAGTACCCTTAACTACATTTGCTAACCCAAACTCATTTAGATTATATGTCCAACTGAGGCCATTACAAAGAGTGCAGCTGATTTGCTGAGTGATGAACAATCACTTCGCCTGCTTAAATTTTCTCACAGAGATATTTATAAAACATCCTTATGGGGTAATTTCTCAAGAAAGGCTTAAGAGTAAAGAATGTAAATAATATGATGATGAAATGCAATTTCATGCCCTAATAAAGGACCACCCATGTAGCAGATGATAACATTGAATGGCACTGAGTGTCAAGAAAAAAGCAGAGCTAACTATAACAAATATGAAGTTAATGCCTGTTCTGTGCCAAGCATGATTCTCAGAGCTGAGAACGCCGTGGTGAACAAGCTAGAGCTTACATTCCAATGAGAGAGATAAATAATAAACAAGCATAAAAATTGTATGTTAGACACTGTACAGGGCTCCAGGAATATAGAAATGGTCCCTGGCCTGGGGAGTCTCACAGTCTACTGGGTAAAATGGATATGAAAGCCATGGTATTACAATGCAGTGACTTCTTTAGAAGAGGCATGGATAAAAAGGCAAGAATGAAGAGGAAGAGAGTGACTGAGGATCTCTGCCTAATAGAAAGATATTTTAAAAGGGATTTTTTGGCTTGGTTTTGAAGACTTAAGTAGGGGTCCACTAGATGGAAGTCAGGGGTGTAGGATGTGTGCTCGAGCAGGAGGAGCAGTTTTCCTTCTTTCAGCAGACGTTAACTGAATACAACTAGCTGGAGTCAGACAATGTTGCCAGCCCTGAGGTAGTGAGCTGGACAATGCAGTAGGCAGAGAGATAAACAGAAAAGTTCTAATCAGTACAATAACTTCAAGAATGAAGATAAGCACAGGTGCTGTGGGGTCTGAGCTAATGTCCTATGGAGGCAAAAGACAGAGATTGCGGGGGTGGGGGGTAGTTAATGAAAGATCCCTAAGAAAATTGATGCCTGAGGTGAATTTTGAAGGACCAATTGCATTAGCCACACAAGGCAACAGCCTGTAGGAAGGCGCTGAGAGGTGAAAGAGGATGGTGTATTGAAACTAGAAGTTTAAGAATACTGGAGACAGAATTTGATAGAAGACAAACTTCAGGAGTAGAAGGAAGCCTTTAAATTGTGTTCATGAGCTATGTATGCCCTCATCCCTAAGGCAATGGGGAGTCTAGAGGGGTCTTGCCCAAAGGTACAAGGTTAGATTTGCAAATAAGCACATTTTAATAGCCTTGAGGCAGGGAAACTTGTGAATCGGCCTTTACTCGAATAGATACTAGACCTAGTTAGGTCTGAACTAGTGGAGGCGAAGTAAATGGAAAGGAGAGGATATAGAATCTGCAGAGGTGAAGAAGTAATACTGGGCTTGGGGAAGAGCAACACATGTGGGCTCAGCTGGTTCATGAGGCAGAATACCTGAAAGTGAGGATGGAGAGGGAAGGTAAATGGCATAGAAAATCTTCCTGTTTTAAAATCTTAGTTTTTGATCACTATACACTTATAGGGAGCTCTGGTGGTGCAGTGGTTAAGAGCTCGGCTGCTAACCAAAAGGTTGGCAGTTCGAATCCACCAGCTGCTCCTTGGAAACCCTATGGGGCAGTTCTACTCCATCCTTAAAGGGTCACTATGAGTTGGAATCAACTCAACAGCAGTGGATTTGGTTTTTCTCTTTGTTTGGTTATAAACCCAAAACTCACTGTTGTCGAGTCAATTCTGACTCATAACGAACCTACAGGACAGAGTGGTACTGCCCCATAGGGTTTCCAAGGAGTGGCTGGTGGATTCGAACTGTTGATCTCTTGGTTAGCAGTCACAGCTCTTAGCCACTGCATCACCAGGGCTCCTTATTGAAATACAGGGATTCTTTTTATGGTTATTAGTTGAACTAGCAGATACTAAAATTAAGATGTCATGAAACAAATCACAGAAAGCACAGTTAAATCACAAGTAGTATACTGCTATCTGGTTAGCCATGTTCTCTGGTTAACAGAGGATTAATATGTTTATATACATATTTGAAAAGGAAATTCAAAGTAATTTTAGACCTACGGATTCTGAGGGGAAAAAGTTTTAGTCCAAATTAATAAATGTGTTTCAATGGATACCATCTTAGCATCCAAACATGGCTCCATGGATGTATTCTAGCTCAATGGCATATAGAGGCCGATACTAGGTGAGGAGTCTAATGCTGGTGTGTTTTGTTCACACAGGGCGAGGAAGGAATACTGGGAGAATCTTCGGATAGCCTCAGGCAGGCCATACAACCCTTCAATGTCAAAGCCCGATGCCTGGGGAGTGACCAAAGGAACAGCTGAGCTGAAGCAGCAGAAAGAAGCCACGACTGACCAGCAGCTGAAGGAGCTCTCTGAAAAACAGAAATTCATATCTGCACAGTAGCCTCAATGGGGAATCTATTTTTGATGAATTCCTCTGTTTGGGCCACAGTTCCTAAAAATAAGGAAAAAATGGTTAAAAAGTAATGTATGTATTAACATCAGGCTACACATTTAATTGGTATTAGCTGAATGAAATAGAAGCACAAATGGCATTGGACAATTTTAAAAGTATGTTTTGGAAGTTTACTTAGAACTAAGATAAGAAGTAAATCTTAAATAGGTTTACAAAGCACCTGCCATGTACAAGGCATTATGGAAATCACTTGGCCAAGGAAAAATAATTCAGGCATTAATCCTGCTTCAAGAAGTTTTCAGGCTAATGAGGAAGATGAGATACGAACTGTCATAAATGACTCAGCAACCGGACAGGGACAGCTAAAGTGCTACAGAAAAGTGGCTTCCAAGTTCTTTTCAACATCACCCATAATAACAACAAACAGACAAGCAACAACAATTCACATAACGACCCAGTAAGACATGTAACATAAATATGAAATAAAATGTGTGATCCATTCTGGCGTTTTCTATTCTTTTCTGTTCTGTTTCATTAATAATAAAATGCTGGTTTAAAAAAAACCATTGCCATTTAGTTGATTCGGACATATAGCGACCCTATAACCCTACAGGACAGAGTAGAACTGCCCCATGAGGTTTCCAAGGCGAGGCTGGTGGATTTGAACTGCTACCTTTTGGTTAGCAGCTGTAGCTCTTAACCACTGCACCACCAGGGCTCCAAAAATGCTAGTTGAAGCCCTTCAAATTGATTTTATGACCCATTAATCAGTTTTGGCCCACAGTTTTAAAAATACTGCTCTAGGCCACTTCACATATGGGGACTTCCCTCTATCTTGAAATTTATTCTTATTAAGAAGATCAAGGTGATGTGAAATCAGCAAGTATTCAAAACCCAAAGTTCTGATTCTAGGTTTAGGTTCTTCTCTCTCTTTCCTGACTCACCTCTACCTCTAAGAAACTAGACCAATGTGTTGGTATTTAGACCCTTTCCATCCTGCTCAAAACTGGGTTGACCTAAATGCCTCAAGTTGGTAAGGCTGAGGAGCAATGAGCTTGTGTTACTTTGATAGCTTAAAAAGTATCTTTGATATCCAAACTCTAGCTAGGTTTCTTACACTGAGAACTATGATGTTTTTAAACTGGTAATTTAGTATCGACTTTCCTATGAGAGCTCAACCCCAAAAGTGCATGATTATTAGAATAAACATGGCTATCCTTTACGTATAAAAAGGTGCATATGCTGCTTTATAAGACATTCCTGGACTAGTTTGACTTTTTGGAATCATAATTTTTTTCAGTTATTTAAAAAAAAAAGAGAGAGAGAAACTATCTTAGTTGTATTTGATTCTTTAGTTCTACAATTTGTTAAATATTATATGAAAACTCTTGACCTCAATTTCTCCATCTATTAAATAGTAATACTACCTATGTACTTCATAAGAATTCTGGAATTTCAAAGGAGGAGGTAGCAGTATTTAAAGGAAAAAGAAATTTCCAGAGGTTTTTTTTACCCGAGAGTCAATCATCTACTCCTCATTCCCCAATCCACCACTCTTCTGTCAGTTTGTCATACTGTGGTGGCTTGCACGTTGCTATGATGCTGGAACCTATGTTACTGATATTTCAAATACCAGTAGGGTCACCCGTGGTGGACAGGTTTCAGCAGAGCTTCCAGACTAAGACAGACTAAGAAGAGGGACCCGGCAGTCCACTTCTGAAAAAACTGGCCAGTGAAAACCATATAAACAGCAGTGGAACATTGTCTGCTACAATGTCAAAAGATGAGCCCATCACGTTGGAAGGTACTCAAAGTAAGACTAAGGAAGAGCTTCCTCTTAAAAGTAGAATTGACGTGTAAAAATGGCCTAAGGGCAGTGTCTGACCTCCTCCAACCCCACAAGGGGCAAGCAGAAACAAGATGAAAAGCTCAAGGCTGACTCCTATGAGGTGGAGGCCGGACAAGCCTTCTGTCTCTGCCATCTTTACTAGTTCTGACACCAACTGTCCCTTGCACAGCACTCTCTACTTCTCTGCTGGATTCAATGATTCATTGCAGTGGCCACACAAAACTCATAGACAACACTCATGATTATGGGGTTTATTAGGGAAGTTACAGTTACAATTCATTATCAGGGAAGTAACAGTTACAAAACAGTTACAACTCAAGAACACTCAGGGATACAGCTCTTCTATCAGGACAGCCTCTTTCCAGCCATGCTCGCAGGTGCATCTCTCCCTGGCCCTAGGCCTCTCCCAAAGGCACTAAGCTTTCTCTCTCTGTTTGTGGGCTGGGAATCCTACCGCGCCATCTCCTGCTGCTGGGTCTCTACTGCCGAGTCTCTGCTGCCACCACTTCTCACCATCTTCAGGGTTACAGCTTGCTCTCTCTATCTCCCCTGTCTCCTGCTTCCAAGAGTTTCTCAGTGCAGGGATCCCAGGTCCAAAGGATGTGCTCTCCATTCCTGGCTGTTCTTCCCTAGTGGTGGTAAGATCCTCGTCTCTGCTCTGGAATTGGCTCTCTTTAAAGGCAAAACTGATCAATCCCCTTGGTAGGCCACAATTACCCTATCACGCGGCCTGCCAATCATCTGGGTAGGAGTTACAAGACCATGGCTAGAAAGGCCACACAAATGTAATCAATTGCACTACATGACCTTAATGACATGGATGAAGTAAAGCTTTCAGGACCTTCATTTGCTGATGTGGCAGGACACAAAATGAGAAGAAACAGCTGCAAACATCCATTAATACTTGGAATGTGGAATGTATGAAGTATGAATCTAGGAAAACTGAAAGTCATCAAAAATGAAATGGAACTCTCATAAGGATGGGCATCCTAGGCATTAGTGAGCTGAAATGGACTGGTGTTGGCCATTTTGAATTGGAAAATCATATATGGTCTACTATGGCAGGAATGACAAATTGAAGAGGAATGGCATTGCATTCATCATCAAAAAGAACATTTCAAGATCTTTCCTGAAGTACAACACTGTCAGTGGTAGGATAATATCCACACACCTACAAGGAAGACCTATTAATACGACTATTATTCAAATTTAGGCACCAACCACTAAGGCCAAAGACAAAGAAACCGAAGATTTTTACCCACTTCTTCAGTCTGAAATTGATAAAGCTTGCAATCAAGATGCATTGATAATTACTGGTGATTGGGATGTGAAAGTTGGAAACAAAGAGATGGATCAGTTGTTGGAAAATAGGACCTTAGTGACAGAAGTGATGCCGGAGATTGCATGATAGAATTTTGCAAGACCAACGACCTCTTCACTGCCAATACCTTTTTTCAACAACATAAACAGTGACTATACACGTGGACCTCACCAGACAGAATACACAGGAATTGAATTGACTACTTCTGTGGAAAATGATGATGGAAAAGCTCAATATCATCAGTCAGAACAAGGCCAGGGGCTGACTGCAAAACAGACCATCAGTTGCTCACATGCAAGTTCAAGTTGAAGCTGAAGAAAATTAAAACAAGTCCACAAGAGCCAAAGTATGACCTTGAATATATCCCACCTGAATTTAGAGATCATCTCAAGAATAGATTTGATGTACTGAACACTAATGACCAAAGACCAGATGAGTAGTGGGATGACATCAAGGACATTATACATGAAAAAAGCAAAAGGTCATTAAAAAGACAGGAAATAAAGAAGAAATCAAATGGATGTCAGAAGAGACTCCAAAATTTGCTCTTTAACATAGAATAGCTAACGCATGATGGAAGAAATGATGACGTAAAAAAGCTGAATAGAAGATTTCAAAGCGCAGCTCGAAAATACAAAAGTATTATAATGACACGTGCAAAGACCTGGAGTTAGAAAACCAAAAGGGAAGAAAACGCTTGGCATTTCTCAAGCTGAAAGAACTGAAGAAAAAATTCAGGCCTCGAGTTGCAATTTTGGAGGATTCTAAGGGCAAAATACTGAACGACACAGCACCCATCAAAAGAAGATGGAAGGAATACACAGAGTCACTGTACCAAAAAGAACTGGTCAATGTTCAACCATTTCAGGAGTTAGCATATGATTAAAAATGGATGGTACTGAAGGAAGAAGTCCAAGCTGCACTGAAGGCATTGGTGAAAAACAAGGCTCCAGGAATTGATGGAATACCAGTTGAGATGTCTCAATAAACAGATGCAGCGCCGGAGGTACTCACTCATCTATGCCAAGAAATTTGGAAGACAGCTACCTGGCCAACCGACAGGAAGAGATCCATATTTGTGCCCATTCCAAAGAAATGATCCAACAGAATGTGGAAATTATCGAACAATACTGATGTCACATGCAAGTAAAATTTTGCTGTAATACATCGATGGGGAATTGCCAGAAAGTCAAGCCAGATTCAGAAGAGGACATGGAACAAGAGATATCATTGCTGATGTCAAATGGATCTTGGCTGAAAGCAGAGAATACCAGAAGATGTTTCCCTGTGTTGTACTGACTATGCGAAGGCACTGAACTGTGTGGATCATAACAAACTACGGATAATATTGCGTATAAGGGGAATCCCAGAACACTTAATTGTGCTCATGCAGAACATAGACCAAAGAGGCAGTCTTTGAACAGAACAAGGGAATACTGCGTGGTTTAAAATCAGGAAAGGTGTGTGTCAGGGTTGTATTCTTTCACCATACTTATTCAACCTGTATGATAAGCAAATAATCCAAGAAGTTTGACTATATGAAGAAGAACACAGCATTAGGATTGAAGGAAGACTCATTAACAACCTGTGATATGCAGATGACACAACCTTGTTGCTGAAAGTGAAGAGGACTGGAAGCACTTACTGATGAAGATCAAAGACTTTAGTATGGATTACAATTCAACATAAAGAAAACAAAAATCTTCACAACTGGACCAATAAGCAACATCACGATAAATGGAGAAAATACTAAAGTTGTCAAGGATTCAATTTTACTTGGATCCACAATCAGTGCCCATGGAAGCAGCAGTCAAGAAATCAAACGATATATTACATTAGGCAAATCTGCAGCAAAAGACCTCTTGAAGTGTTAAAAAGCAAAGATGTCAATTTGAGGACTAAAGTGCATTTCATATGCACGGGAAAGCATGAATAAGAAAGACCAAAGAAGAATTGATGCCCTTGAATTATGGTGGTGGCGAAGAATATTGAATATACCATGGACTGCCAGAAAAACAAAGAAATTTGTCTTGGAAGAAGTACAGCCAGAATGCTTCTTAGAAGCAAGGATAGCGAGACTTCATCTCACATACTTTGGACATGTTATCCAAACATGTCCCTGGAGAAGAGCATCATGCTTGATAAAGCACTTGTTGTTTTTAGGTGCAGTTAGGTTGGCTCCCACTCATAGCAACACTATGCACAACAGAACAAAACATTGCCTGGTCCTGAGCCATCCTCACAATCATTGCTATGTTTGAGCCCATTGTTGCAGCCACTGTGTCAATCCATCTTGCTGAGGGTCTTCTTCACTATTGTCAACTTTACCAAGCGTAAAACAAGAAATAAGAGCCAGGAGATAGCTCGTCCC